TAACATTAAATTAAAATAAATGAGACGTTCTTGGATAACTCCTGAACCAATTGGGAAATCAAAAGAACGTTAACGAGTTATTTAATTAATAAATTAACCACTTAATTAATTAATCATCCTATTAAGCCACAAGCTGAGGCCAGTCTTGACTAATCAATCAGTAAACCAATAAAGAAATAATTAGAATTAATTAGCGCTGTGTTGGTTCAACCAACCAATAAGAGAGGGCACTTCAATATTTTATCCGCCTGTCAATCAGTCATCAATCAGTCAGCGCGTTAATCAATCAACCAATTAATCACTCAATCAGTTCGTCAATCAATCAATCATTTAATTAAATATAGTTAAATCTTTCCTTAATTTACACCAAATGATCGCATTCGGTCAAGGTCACTTTTGGCCGACCAGTTCAAACCACTGTCTGAGAGCGTCGGCCATCGTCTGCGGAATATTCGTCACATCCCTGATTATGACGTAATACGGAAACGGAAATGAATCCATGTATGGCTCCAGACGGATCTGCAGTGGTAAGTAATTATGGTGGTTATTATTCATATATACGGTGATGATGACGAAATGGTGGCTGCAAGAAACATCAACAATAACAATAGCAATAATAATAACACAATAATAATAATAATTCTAAAATGAACCTGTTGTCTTTCGTCAACAATTGGGTTTCTTATGCTCAATATTGAACTCTGGTTGAATGAACAAATGAATGTATGAAAAAATGTACGAATGAATGAATGAATGTACGAATGAATGAATGAACGAATGAATGAATGAATGTACGAACGAATGAATAAATAAATAAATGCATGTATGAATGAATGAATATGGGTATGAATGAATGAACGAGTGAGTGAATACACAAATACAAGTATCAAAACCAATACCTTGGTATCAACGATTATAAAGACGATAAATATTCCTCTCTCCGTGGCCAACTTGACGTATGGTTTGACCCGACCTACATTCTCTTGAATTCGTCCGTCCGATACTATTATCAGCAGCTGGTGAGCCATCCCTGATGACGACGATGATGACGACGACGATGACGTCATCAAGCCTGTAACCGTCCTTAGCATCTGTGCGTGAGTTATGACGATTCGTGATCATTATCAAGACAATATTATTATTTATTATGTTATTAATAATAGTAATTATTTATTATTATCCCATCATCATCAACATCATCACCGGAATAAAATTGGTGCTCTTTTGTTGAAAAGTTAATTTGGATAGGGCATATCCGCCGGAAGTGGGTGTGAACGGTTTGTCCAACGGATGCAATAGTTCTACGGAATCTCCGAAACTGTTTGTTTGTGTTGTTGTTGTTGTGTTTGTTTGTTTGCTTGTGTATGTGTGTGAATGTGTTTATGTATTTATTTAAGTAATCATTCATTCATTCATTCATTCATTCATTCATTCATTCATTCATTCATTCATTCATTCATTCATTCATTCATTCATTCATTCATTCATTCATTCATTCATTCATTCACTCATTCACTCACTCATTCATTCATTCATTCATTTATAACTTTACCTTAGCTATCTTAATGAACGTAGATAATTATTCGCAAACATCATCACCATCATCATCATCATTACTCTAACCATCATCACCATCATCATAACTTTCACCATCATCATCATCATAATCATCATCACCATCATCATCATCATCATCGCGACCTGCACAATCCTAACTGGCCAACTTCTAGTTTTGTAAGGGCACTGGAGATAATGGATAGCGATTCGAAGACCAGCTGCAGAGGATCATAAAAAAATAAAATAAATAATTATAAATAAAAAATATTCATTACCAATACCACCACCATCATCATCACCATCATCATCATCACCATCATCATCAGTAACATCTCCAGTATCTGTTTAATTCTCCCTTACCTCTTTTCTACAGGATACTACTGCTGTCTTCATCATCATCACCACCACCATCATCACCACCATCACCATCATCATCAGTAACATCTCCAGTATCATGATACCCCTCCCTACCTCTTTACTATCATTGAACGTGATACTACTGCTATCATCGACGGCCACCATCACAGTGTATCTTCTTTTGCTCAGCTTACTCCTCCTCAGCCATATCTTATCCTTGCGGAACTGGCTGGCGATATACTGGATGACCTTCCGCATGCTGATGCGCTTTCCAGTTCGGTAGTCACCTCTGGGGGGGGGATTATTTTTACAAGTGGATTGCTATCGTCACCATAATCATTACCACCACTACTACACTTATCACCACCATCACCACTATCTCCACAACCACCACCACCAACTTTAACTTAGCGGCTTGGGTAGGTTCAAGGATGAGTCTGAGTTGCTCGCAGAGGTCCTGGGCCAGATGGCTCGTCCTGCTCTCGTAAGTGTACCATAGGGACTGCCAGTCTGATGCATCCTGCTGGGTTGGTTGATTGGTTGGTTGATTGATTGGTTGGTTAATTGGTTGGTTGTTTGGTTGATTGATTGGTTGGATGGTTAGTTGATTGGTTGGTTGATCCATTGGTATATTAGTTGATAAAGTATTTGATTGATTAGTAGACAGACCCAAACAGAAAACACACAAAATTCATCTGGGGTAAAAGTCATCGCGGGGTGAAATTCATAGTGGATAATTCATTGCGGTATTGTTATAAAGTATTGAGACCCGGAGAGAAAATATTTGTGAGGCGGTTTAATTAATTAACAATCGAAATCGAACCCGAATTCGTTGATTGTTGTGGGTGATCAGCAGCGGTAGGTTCAATCCCTATCGTGCAATATAATACTAATTGCTAACTATCGTTTAATCGTTAAAATGCCGGGATCTATTCACCATTCGGCCTAATTCGTGAATTAACTGCCAAAATTGAATCATTATTCGGCTTAATTAATTAATTTATCGATTAAATGGTACAGTTGTTGGTTTTATGTTCGATTCCTGGCCTTCGTCAATGCTGTCGTTCAACCAACGATCTACTAATGAATGTTCGAAAATAATTCACATTTTGACTCGTTTCAATTAATTTCGACAAATTTCAACTTGGATTCGAGTGAATTTCAAGCTAATTGCACTTGCTCGGCTCGGCTCGCGATCGAACCCTCTACGAGAAGGTCTACAAAAAACGGTCGGCACTAATATTGGCCGGACCGCTCGATAGGTCTGCCTCAATGATCAACTACCAACAAGTCACCGCCGAAATTAACTATACATTATACAAGTGGAGTAGATATATACTATGATGTGCAACATTCATGGGGTGCGTGATTGCAATAACTGTAACTTCAAATTAGCCTCACGATGAATTTCACCCCACCTACGATGAATTTTACCCCACCCACGATGAATTTTATCCCACCCACGATGAATTTTACCCAACCCACGATGAATTTTACCCACCCATGATGAATTTTACCCCACCCATGATGAATTTTACGGACCACCATTGGTTAATTAAATAAAAAACCAAGTCCACCGTAGCAGCAGTTGTTGTTGTTTCGTGATTGAACTGCAACTGCTTCTTTCACTCCTTTTTCAATTTCTTTCACATTCTCTCGCTGTCCACCTGCTAGGGTAACGGTTGTTGTGACGACGGCGACGATTGTTGTTATTGTTGTTGGCGGCAGGATTATTATTATTATTATTAAAATTGTTATTGTTATTATTATTATTGTAATACTTTTTCCAGTTCTACTTCTTCTTCCCCTTCTTCTTCTTCTTCTTCTTCTTCTTCTTCTTCTTCTTCTTCTTCTTCTTCTTCTAATACTTCTTCTTCTTCTTCTTTTCTTCTTCTTACTACTAATATTATTAATAAAATTATTAACCAATTGGAATTATTTTAATTACTGACGGGATAATATTCCCCTTTTTCATCATTGGGGGTAGGTTTAATAATGACGACGGACCTCTCTCGGGCCCTTTGCGATCGACCTTTTTCCCTTTTGTTTTTGAGGTCACGTTCTCGATGACGTTTATTTTGTCAACGTCGTTTTTTTTTTTTGTGTTTTTTTTTTTTTTGTTGTTTGGATTTGTTGAGTTTGTTGTTTGTGGTCTTCTGTGGTGCGGTTTTTTGAAGGATTGGTTGGTTGATTTTGGTTGGTTGGATGATTTTGGTTGGTTGACTGATTGGTTGATTAATTGATTGATTGACTGATTGGTTGGTTGATTGATTGGTTAATTGATTGACTGACTGATTGGTTGGTTGAATGATTAACCAATCCATTAACCAGTTGTTTGGCACATTGATGAATCGTTTGTTGGAATAATGAATATGAGAAAACAAACATTAATAAAAAAACAACAACCTCAAATTCCATCTTCTCTTCCGTCTCTTCTTCATCATCATCATCAGGAAGAACATCATCATCACCACCATCATCATCATCATCATCAACATTTTTATGTTGTTGTTGTTGTTGTTGTTCTGTAGCACCGGCCACAACTTCGGCGTCGTGTTTTTGTCGTTGTTGTTGTTTCGGAAGGTGCATGTACGTTGTCGACTGTTGTTGCTGCTGATCCTGATAATGATGATGACGGTATTGATGATGATGTTGACGACGACGATGATGAAGACGATGATGATGATGATGAAGACGATGATGACGTATTGATGATGGTGACGATGATGATGATGACGATGATGATGACAATTGTGATAGCTAACGTGATGTTGTTAATAAATCGCCATCATCATCATCATCATTACAAATATCATCACCACCACCATCATCGTCATCACCATCATCGTATCATCATTATCATAACCTCATCATCATAGTTTTCATCATTCAGCATATTGGCATCCAATAAATGTTTGTTCCTCTTCACTGGTCTGTCTGATGCTTCAGAAGATAACGACCTATTATCGTCCAGCTGCCGTTTTCGCTTCTGATTGGTCGGTTGGTGATTGGTTGGTTGGTGATTGGTTGGCTGATGATTGGTTGGCAGATTGTGATTGGTTGGTAGATTGATTAGTTGACTGATTGGTTAGTTGATTGTCTGAATGATTGATTGATTTGTTCGTTGGTTGACAAGTTAATTGAGTGACTGGTTGATGGAAGACTGGGTGATTGGTTGTATGATTGATTGATTAGTTGATTGAATTGGTGATTGGATGGTTGAATGGATGAATGAATGATTAATAGACTGAATTACCGCTTGCTTGGTTTAAAAAGACCTTTTCTTTAATTCAACGTTATCCAATTGAAAATAATAAAAATGTTTTATGGGAAAAAAATTAAACAAAAATATAATAATAACCTTGTTAGATTTCTTATCTTTGGAACTTCCGGTGGTAACTTTGTTGACGTCATCTTTCGGGTCGCCATGTTGTTTTTGTTGTTCTTTGTTTACGTTGTAGCCTGGTTTATTTTCGTTTCTCTGCAACGGGAAAAATTTGTAGATTGAATGAATTGAAAGAATGAATGAAGTGAAAAATGAAATGAATTGAAAGAATGAATAAATTGAAGGATGATGAAATTATGAAGAGTTGGGATGCGTGCTTGCTGGTGGTGGAATGAATTAGGATTAATGTTTCAATCTTTCAATCAATCAATTTATCAGCCAATCAACAAACGACCAGCCAGCCAGCCAATCACAGACCTCCATTTCGACATCATCCTGAGTGACAGCGGCCGTATCTTCCATCTCAATTTCAGACGAACCCTGCACATCACTGGTCACGTGATGCGTGTCGCCGGCCGTGACGTCATCGTCTTCCTTCTTCCGTTCGTCGCTGACGTCATTTTCGTCGTCGTCATTCGTCTGGGGGGGGGTAATAAAATTTGAATGGAAGTAATAATAATAATTTTAGGTATAATTATCGCAATTACATCATCGTCATCATCTTCTTACCAGTGCTTCGATACCAGCTTTCTTTGCAAGGTCATCATCATCACCACCGTCATCGTTATCAGGACGGTCTGGATCATTATCATGAGTTTTGTTATCATCATCATCATCTTCGTTTTTACCCACATTATTTTCTTGGTTCTCCAAATCCTTAGCTAAAAGATCATCATCGTCCTCACCATCTAGGCCTTTATCATCATCGTCATCATTATCACCCTCGTCATTATTATTATTATTATTATTATTATTATCACCATCATCACCACCACCACCATCATCATCATTGCCGTCTATCTGCATCTCCTCGTGAACGTGGTCTGAAAATTGTGAAAAATAATTTAGAAATTAATTTATCATCATCATCATCATCATTGTCGTCGTCTTCATCATCACCATCACCACTACTACCACATCATCATCATCACCACCGCCACTACCAACTCACCCATATTATCGCCATCTTCATCGTCTAATTTTAGATCGTCTGGGATTTCCATGTTGCCATCATTACTTTCGTTCTTATCGTTATCGGGTTTTTCCTTTTTAGTTTCGCTTTCGTTTTCTTTGGCTGCCCTCTCGTCTTCTTCCTCATCATATTCAGACTTGCAGAGAATAATAATAATAATAATAGCAATATTAATAATAAAAACTAACACAAAAATATTCAACAATATCGTGAAAAAACTTTCTAAACTTACATAATCCGGCACGTGACGATCATCATTACCATCACCGTCACCATCATCATTATCATCATTTTTCTTTTTATCATCGTCATCATCATTATCGGCGGCTCCTTTGGCGCCAAGTTCTTTCTGATTGGCTGCGTTGGTGCCCTTACCCTTTTCCTGTTTTCTGTCCTGATGATGATGATGATGATAATGATGGTGATGATGACAATGATGGTGACTGCTGTGATGATGGTGATTGTCTAGATCAATAAATACCAAAAATGTTTAAAAACGTAAACTCGAAGACTCTCACTTCCTCATTTTCTCTATCATCGCCCTCTTCCTCTTCCTCATCATCTCCCCACATCTTCTCGTCCAGTTTGTCATCTTCATCGGCGTCATCACCAACGTCACCCATTTGCTTTTCGACATCATCATCATCATCGGCATCATCATCAGCATCATCATCGTCGTCATTTTCTGTATAAAAACGAATTTTACCATTAAAATCATCGTCTTTTTCACCATCGCTACCACCACCCTCATCATCATCATCATCACTACCTTTCTTTTTAGGATCTTTGATTTCTCCGTCAAAGTCACCTGACATTTCAACAGCTTTGTCATCCTCACCACCACCATCTTCCTCATCTTCCTCATCATCATCTTTTTTCTCTTCCTTTTTGTCATTCTTCAAACCTTCAATCTATCATTAGTAATAGTAGTAGTAGTAGCAGTAGCAGTAGTAGTAGTAGCAGCAGCAGTAGTAGTAGTAGCAGCAGAAGTAGTAGTAGCATAAGTATACAGCAGAGATGCAGCGAATATTGAATATGACCGAATGGTCGTATAGTTAAATAAACAAATAAATAATTACAAACTTGAAATACAATTTTTTAAAAAAAGTTCGAAAAAATTTCACGGATAAAATCCCCAAAGGACCTGTTCTTCATTTTCGATTTGATCACTGACATCCCTTAGACCGCGACCTTCACCCATGCCAGC